GGTAGCTCAATTAAAAGGTTAATTTACTAAACTAAATTTACCTCTGAACTTAATATAACGAAGTACCGCATACAAACATAATTATTATTTTTGCTTCACTGTATATAAAAGTCCCGAAAATTCCGAAATACTGCCCAAACCGTGAATAATGCCGAAAATTGCCGAAAACACCCGGGAAAATAGTGAAAAATTTCCAACAATATTGAAAGTCACAAAGAATTTAGTTTTATTTTGCATATTTAAATTGAAAACAACAAAAATTAAAGAATATAGATTATTTCTCTGAATTGCCTTTGTAGTATTTAGAAATCTAACAAAAATGTTCGAAATCTAATATTTAGCACCTCATAAATGCATCAATTCTATTTATTTTAGTATTTAGCAAATCCTAAAGATTCAAATAAAAATAGAGGAGGTTATCAATTCGTCGGTATATATTTTGTAGGTGGATCATTTCCAAACAAAGTGGCCGGGGCAGGTATTTTTTATATATTTTTTTGTAAGATTGATACATTTTTTTCTCTGAATCCATTTTCCGACGTGAAAATTTGTTCAGAATACGGAACTGATTTTAGGCTATTCAAAAATTATTATTTTTTCTTATTTTTGCATTTTAGTAAAACAGCATAGATAAAGTTTCGCAACACGGCGACACAAGAATAATGAATCACTTTGTTTTGAGCGCATTCAAGGGAGTAGTCTCCCAAATTCAAAGCAATTTGAAGGCTACGGCAATCCTTTGTAAAAGATGTCAGCAATGCCAACAAAACACAGACATCAAACCAAGCCTCACTGAGAATTTCGATTAATATCTGTTAACACTAGAAACACCCATTTACGTCAGTGGTGATACAACGCAGTTGTAGTGCTCACAGTATTCTATTATCAGTTGTGTTTTTTTAACCGCCCATTAATATTAAAACATTACAGTAGCAGTATTTATGTTAAGAAATGAATTAAAATCGTCCACAACGATTGAAGTGATTGAAGAAATTTTGCCTACGCAGAAAAGAATCCGAGCAGCTGGAAATTTATGAAGTAGTGCAACCATTAAAAAAATGCAATGTGCTATAGATCGCGCTTTCATCGAACTTTTCTGGCATATGATTTCAAAATTTCTTTAACATTTCGGTTTGCGATTTAACAACCAAAAAATTTATTCGATTGCCTTATTCTTTTGCACCAAAACTCGGTGCATTGTTTATGAACAAACAAAATCAGCTAAACCATGCAACTTGATTACCTATCAATGTACGCGTGTGCATAAGTATGTATGTAGGTGTGTAAGAATATATATGTATATGTACATATGTGAATTAGGGTGGTCCAAAAGTGCATGCGAAAGCAAGTAAAGTCGGAATTTAAATGCTCTCGCCCCCTAGTGAAAATATTTATAATCGGAAGGAATAGTACCCAATTGGTTTTTGTTTTTATGTGTATCACCATTTTTTATGGGTATCCTCATTGAATTTTGTGGGGTCTTTGGGCGTCTAATTAGTATTAAAAACTGGTTAAAAGAAATAAAAACTGGTTAAGAGAAGTAGATTTCGCCGATTGAAAAATATTGGTATTCAAGGGTTCTATATCAGTTCTAGGAAAAATTGGTTTTCCCCATGAAACATTGAGCGCTTGAAGTGGCCTATAAATATTTTTTGATTTCAAAAAAGCAAAAAAAACACACACAGGGGTATAGTTTTTTCGATTTAGAAAAGTCCTAGAGGGTGAGAGCATTAAAATTCCAACCTTATTTACTTTGGACCACCCTAATGTAAATACAAACATATGTATGCATGTATATACGGACATTTCTTTTTAACTACATAAAAAAATATTTCTTCCTCAAACAAATAAACAAGTACGTGAAAACAAAACATTTCAAATCTATTTCAAGAATCAGGTTTTCCAGTCCGTGTGTAGTGAATCAGCGAATTTGTTTATGCGAACTGCACAGGCTAACAGCTCATTAAATTTTCAGAATTTTAAAAAGCACAGATGCGCTGAAAAGAATTCTTAGAGTTGTATACATGTATGTACATAGTACATAAATACAAACATATGGTATGCAGGAAATTATGAACCGCGTAAAAACCTATTGATTCCCTTAGAGCAATAACGACATACAAGAGCAAATGTGCCTTATTTCACAAAGTAAACTAAAAAGCCAATACTTCAGAGCACAAAACGAAAACATGGCGTAGTTATACTCAATCAGTGAATCTATACATAGTATAAAGGAAAGTCGAGATTCTTTGTACGCGGAAACTACTCGAAAACTACTGAACAGATTTTGACGAAATTTTCTCTAATTTTGATAGGGTTGCCACCTGTCTAAAAACCTATAATATCCGCACCATTCATTGGATTTCAAAAACTGAGACGGCAAATGAACGCGACTCGTATCTAGAAAATCAATATTGTCTTATTTTTTAAATAGGGTTGCCATCTGTTAAGAAAATTACTATATTCAATCCTAATAAGCGTAGGCATCAGTTCTGTAACGTCACTGTCAAATAAAAAGACTTAGCCTCTAGATGTCAAATAATGTGTAATTTTGCTGAGTAGGGTTGCCACCTGTTTAAAAACTATAAGATCTTCACCGTTCGTTGGATAAAAAAAATGAGATACCAATTGAAATGCATGTACAAAAACTTAAATTTTTTGAGTAGGGTTGCCACCTGTTAAAAACTACTATCTTTTATACATATTATAAAGGAAAGGCGAGATATTTTGACCACGCTACTGAACGCGCTATATTCAGCGCGTGGCAAAGCCTCGCGCATCCGTGGTATTAAATAAACAAAGGCTTCTTTATTTTCAGAGCCAAACTATTACTACGTTTATACGCACGTATTATTTGCAAATAAAAATTTGCAAAATGGTAAACTTTTCCGTATAAACGCTGAGTTAATTTTTGATTTACAAATAACCAAAACGCGCAAATAAGTATTGAATAGTGGTACTATTTGCAAATAAGCGCTAGACGCCGCCATTCTTTGGTTTATTTTCTTTTTCGATGGGCATCTTATTGCCTTTTAATAATCAGGCAATATTAAAAAAGAATTTTGCACCATCGAATAAACAGTGAGTTAGGTATTTGCAAATTATTTTTATTTGCAATAACTTACGTATAAACAAAGTATGTATATGTTTAAACGGGCACGAAAAATTAAAATTAAAAGGGGAAAAATGTCGATCGTTTACTGCATTAACGTCGTAACTCAAAATTTGTTCCCTTGCCTAAAGATGTATTTGTTAATTATTTATAATTTTTGTTACTTTATTTTATCATTTTTTTTAATTTTAATTATTCCTTTATATAAATATATTTAGTTTGCTTTTTAACAAAAACCGTATAAATTCAAGTTTCGGTCTCCGCGCAACATTAAACAAACAACAAATTCGTAAAAATTACGACATTTTTAATTAGCTCATTCAATTTTAGTCTGTTTTCAGTTCTTTTTTTTTGTTGAAGGTGTTGCTCTATATAACGAAATCGTGTATCACACGCGTGTGTATATGTACTTCAATATCTGCGAGCCAAATAAAGTAAATTAGACCATAAAGTAAATATTGAAATATCTACAGGTGCAAGTGTGTGGATGTGCTTTCGCTTTCCCACTGCTGCGGTATCTAATGTGAGAAATACTCCTCCTGGCATAATTTGGCGCAGTAATGCCACCCGCACCCGTATCAAATTGTCTACGCAAGAACATACCTTCACACAACATACAGACATACATTTTACCTAACTATAAACAAAATACACAAACATTTCACTTTTATCTGTGTCTACCCTTTCGGTGAATATTGTTGATGATTTCATAGAGGCGTGTGTGTGCTCTCCCATGTCGCAGGCAAAATCGATAAATGTCAAATTTCACTTTCATAAAAACTCGCAGATTTTAGTTGGCTAATAGTGGCAGCTGGCATGCTCAGTTGTCAGCGTATGCGCCGCGCAGTGATCCACTTATTTATTTAAAGGCAATCAAATAAAAATTTAATGAGCGCGCATAGTTTGTAGCTCATAGTAATTTAATTACAGCATTTTTCCACCAATTAACTGTAATATTTTCAGCGTAAATATGGTCGTTTTGGTTTTTCAAAGTTTCATTCATTTATTTTCTTTTTTTTTTTTCTAGCAGCTTGCCGCTTTGACCTTGACTGTTGCCAATAAACCACTAGAAAGAGAAGGAAAACAAAACAAAACAGTAGTCAGCTGCAGATATCTTCAAAAAAGTCTAAAACAAAGTTTTATAGTTGTGAAAAGCCAACAACAATGGAAGCCGTTGTAAATAAAGCTTTTCTTGATGCTGGTCAAAAGCCTGGTGTGGAGATTTGGAGAATCGAGGTAAGTTTGTAGCTAGTTTGCTAGTGTGTAGATAAAATGCTTACATTTTATTATCAACATATTTGTATTAACCGGGGACGGATAATAATATTTTTTTTTTTTTTTTTAATTTTAACTAAAGCAATCAACAAGTTGTAATCATCGTAAAACAATTTTAACTATACTCACATATTTTTGTTCGTAGGTCCTATTGTAACTTACAATGATTTTTATTTTTGGTGTTTAACCAATAAATATTTAAAATAATAATTAATATTTGAGTTTTACTTTTTCGCCCAAAGGAAATTATTATTACTTGATTTTTATTTTTTCCATAAAAAATAATGATTATTTTAGGATTTTCATTTTTTCCGCTCAATAATAATAATTGTTTTTTTTATTTGAAATTAAGAATAATGTTTATTCAAAAAACTCAAAGCTAACCCAGCGTGATTTTCAACTTGACCTTTTCAGAGGGAAAAACGGTCTGATAAAAATAATAAAATAAATAAATAAAATCAATAAAAATGTTTATATTACAAGTAAAAAGAGAAAAACTATGAAAAATTTGCACTTTGAATCTTTACCTATTTTATCCTTTCTAGTTCCTAACTCATAAAACTTTAATCTGTATAGTGGTAGTAACATTGAACCACAAGATGCATTTTGAAGTTTTCTGGTAGCATTTTCATTCGATTTTCGCGAAGAAAAGCCTTGAATGTACTAAATGTGCGCTCAACGTATGTTGATACGAGTGGAGCCCAATTTGAAACGAACGATATTATCTGGAATAAGGGCATATTCCTCGCCTTTTATAATTTTATCCACACCCCTTATTGTCTCCAAGCCTACGTTAGCTGAGAAAACGGCTTTGAATTTTTCCAACACCAATTTGGCAAGAGGTCCCTGCGCTTCTATAAGCCGCATGGGCATGTGTATATATTTTAATCTTAAAAAAAAAAATTGTAAATGCTATAATCCCTTTTTTAAAGGTAGAAAAGGCAAAAAAGGCAAATATCTTAAAAAAGGCAACACCAAATGTGTATATATGGAATCAGGGAAAGCTAAATCGTGGACATTCTTAATCGAATATACTCTATCTCTTTAGAAGAAAAAAAGGCAATTTCCATAAAATCCGTTCCCTGATAATAACTATCTCTGGGCGAAAAAATAAAAATTAAATAATAATTATTTCCGTTGAGCGAAAAAATAACAATTAATAATAAAAATTATTTTTAAGCGAAAAAAAATCTAAAATCATAAAATAATTATTTATTAATGATTTATATTGTTT